GCTTTTTTGTTTATTTTAGTTTACAATATGCACAATAATTAGCAATGTAGAGAATTTCTAAATAAGTCTCGACCTGCTTGAACTAAAATGAATTTTCAACAAATTACAGTTCAAAATGGATCTTAATCGCTGAGTTAATCTAAGAAGAAGAGGTATTTCCGTTAATTTTACGGAAAAATTATATTCGGATAAAATATTTTTTCATTAAAAATTAGAGTCATATTTTAACTTTCATTGCTTAGGAACAAAAAAAAGTAATACTACAAATTAAAGTAAATAGCCCACAAGTGTGCTTTGTATAAACTTTAGATATCTAAAAATTAACTAATAACTTTAAATTAAACATCAATAAATATTGTTTAAATAGGCATGTACAAATTTAATATTTTAATAGAAGAAATTAAAAAAGTTGTCTTATATTTATTTCAATTAATTTTTTTGCTTTCATAGGGTGTCCCGAAATTAAAAGTCCAAACTTAAACGGTGATAATTTTTTAATACTAGAGGAAAGTCGCCTAATTTCAGATACCTTTTCAAAATAATCAAAATTATTTGGATAAAATAATTTTTTAATGCTTTATCTATTGGCTAGTATACAATGTATTGCAAAGAAACAAATTTTAATATCAAAACATTTTTATTACAAAAAATGTTTCTAATTTCGGACAGGGGAAATTAAGAAACGTGAATCATCCGAAATTAGGCAACTTTATACTTTTTTCGTTTTTTTAATTAAAATCTTTGAAAAAATTTCGTAGTTTTGACAAATGCAATGTCTTAAACAAACATTTACCTAAAAAAAAGGTAAAAAATAGAAAATTTTACAACGAATATTTATAAAAAACACGTCTTAAACTATGACCAAAAAAACCCTACAAAACGTGGTTCCGATGTTAACCACTGCCATCTAATGGAGAGTGATTAGTATCATCTAAATAACACTGGATATGCTATTTTTTCGTTTAATGATTTGATTAGTTTCAAAGATACACCACTATCCGAAATTAGGCGCCTACTTGAAATTAGGCGACTTTCCTCTATGGTTATTTTAATATGCTGAAACTAAACCTGCAATATTTAATCATAGGCGTACCATTTGGGGATTAGAGGTACAAAAACAGCCCCAACTTTTTCTGGGTTATATTTTAAGGTTTTTTTCTGAAATTTTACGCACATGATTTAATTTTGACAGTTTTGATTTTAGATCTATATTCAGCATGTAAAAATTACAAAAGTAATAAAAATTATTTTTTCTACTCCTTTTACGGAATATGACCGTTCAAATATGGAATTAAATATATTACTTAAAGTGTTACAGAATAAATTCATTTTATCACCAGATATATAATATCTAATTATAATTATCTAACAATTTTTAACTTTTAACCTCACTTTCTCCCAATTAAATTATTTGTCTGTGGTATTTTTTGGAAACGTGCGAAACACATTTGGAATTGTATATTCCGCTATCGTGAAACCGTCAAACTCGCCTTCGGCTCGTGCACAAGTTTGTCACATGTGACAAACTTGTCACTGCGGAATATGCAGTATTCCAAAATTGTTACAGAATAAACTATTCTTTAAGTTTAACCCTTAAAGAATGCTTTGAAAAAAATCTTTATTTTATTTCCCTCTTCTATAGAAGAGGGAAATAAAGCAATCTGCTTATAAGCAGATTGCTTTATTTAATTTTGTCCACCTAATTGTGGGACACACTGTATAGGTAAAATCAATATAAACGAAATTATAATTAAACTATATTTAAATTTAAATATAATGGTATTTAACTTTAATTATAATTTATTTTAATATAGTGTCAATCATAGTATTAATGGAATTTATATTTTAACACTACCTTACCAAGTTTACAAAGTTTTTTTTTTCAATTTGGCTTGCTAACTATTTTTTAAATCTTCATTTAGAGTAAAGTTCATCAAAATTTGCTTACATGCCATTATCTTAAAAAGGCATAAAATAAATGTATTTTTTACAAAAATAAAGATAATCGTCATGCAATGTAACTATAATTTTATGAAGTGGACAAAATTAAATATTGAATACCTTTATAGCTTAATTTGTGAACAAATTATATATGTAGGAGGTTATATACACAAAAACGGTACACATGTTTTGATTTTCTTGGTAAAAAATAAAAATTAATTATAAATTTAGAGTATTTTAACTTTAATGGATATCTAAAATTTCTTCACATTAAAATTGTGTTAATAATTTTGTTTACTTTATGTGTCGAATTTGCAAAAGTAACAGCGAAATCGGCGGGTGGTTGAAACCAGTGTCCGTTAAACAGCATTAATTTTGCATATTAACCGCATACATATCCATAAATAAATAAACATTTCAAGCTGCAAATACCAAAATTAAATTTAATAATTAAATTATGAATTCGTATAAAAAACATCAGTTTATCTGATATGTAAATCTGGCGACCAAAGAAGAATTTCCACAAGAACGTTGTTAAATGACATTTTTCAGTTAAAAACTACCGACCGTATCTCTTTGAATTTATACTAAAAAATTTAACTTTTGACACCAGATTAAAAACTCGTTTTTCGATAGTTAAAACTACAGAATGCTGTCAGCGCTCACGTTATTAAATTAATAATTTTTGAAATTTATTTACGTCGTTCAATCGAAATACTTTTATATAAATTTTGTAGGAATATTTCAAAGAATTTTCATAAACATTTTTAAGTCCAAACTGACGTTATTTACGACCGCCCATGTGGGAATAAATTTATTGCATTTTTTCGGTCATATTTTTTTTAACATGCGCGTATTTAAATAAATTAAAATTTGTATTTTTCATGCTCTGCTACACTTTGTAAACAAGTAGATATTTAAGGGATCCGAAATAATATGTTACTTAAATTTAAGTTAAATTGTCGCATTTGTACCAGGAAAAAGGATAAGTTATAAATTATATTATAAATTATGATCGGTACTGTACATCAAATTACAATAATAGTTAGGTATTTAATTTAATGAATATTTTATTTTTTTAAATGTCTATATTGACAAGTGACACTCAATTTCCCTGATTTTTTGGTTTCTGTGATTTATTTTAATTTATCAATAAAATTGGTTGAGAAAGAGCGAATTTCAATAAGTGAAGAATGAAAAAATGCAAATTTTAATACTTTTCTACCTTTTTTTGTCTGCAACTTCAGCAGCTGTAATTGAAAAACCAAGGTTTAGATTCAAAAGATGATGGAAATTCAGACGAATAAATAGAAATAGAAAAACAAAGTAGTCAACTTAATCCAAAACTATAAACAATACTCCAAAACAAACAATGTGGTAATATTCATAACCTTACAAAACTGTTAAAAAATTTCGGCACATGCGCATTTCAATTTTATTTATAATTTATTTTATGAAAGTTAAATTTTATGAACTTTCAAGTTTATTTGATGTACACTAAATTGTGAGTTACTGATTAAATCGTTGTATAAACTGTTTCATAGCGACAGTGCGATTTAACTTTAATGCTTATGCACTAATTATGAAATAAATTAATGATATGAAGTTGTATAAACCCGCCATTAAATTACAACAAAGTCGTGCTATTTTATATCATCATATAAGTATTTAAAGTTGGACGCAAAAACAAGGGTTGTAAAAACTAAAAACGTCCACGTTGCTGGACCAAACAGAGCCAAATATTTCCAACCAACCCACCAAACACAGCTCTCCATCTAGTGACGTGAGATCGAGATGACACTTAATTTGCACCATAAATAATTGTACTGATTTACTAGCAAATTTTGAAGCTTATTTATATTGAGATGCTTTGCTTCAAAATTAGGATCCTACAAGATATATTATAATATTTTTTAAATGGGACAGCCTATATATTTTAACATATTTTAAAAGATAAGGTAATTTGCAATAAAAAAATATTAATGTATATCCACCCTCTAAACTTGAAAATAAACTACAAGCACTTGAACCTTCTGATGGTTGTTGAAATAACCAAATTACTACTTTATTTTAACAAAATTTAGAAAGTTTAAGTTCTTATTAATTGTTTATTTTTAAGTTTAGGGTAGTTAGTTATGTAATACAATTTTTTTGTTTCAAATTGAATTGTCTTTTAAAATTGTTTTTCTGTTTGTGCCATTTTAATCAGAAGAAAAAATGCCACCAATTTTCTAATTTAACCGACTTTGGCCACCCTGTATATTCATTTTAAAAACATAATATTTATTGTAATATTAATATTAATAATAATAAAATTATAACCAAAATACCCGGAAATTAACAATAAAAATATTTTAGACAATGTTTAATATACAGGGTACACAAATAATCCTACTATGCATGATTTTTTTATTTGAATGTCCGTTAAAGTAGAAAAAAGATCAAAATTAAAAAAAGATCAGCGTTTTTCATATAATTAAAAAATTAAAACCTGTTAAAAGCAAAGATCGTTATTATTTCGTTATTCCTGGAAATTAAAAAAAAAAGTAATTTTGATTTACCACCACTATCTTTTATTTTTTCTATTGTCATCATATTGGGATTTTCATGGTTATAGCAAAATTTATAAAATATAGTGGCGAAGAAAGTGGAGATAAATGTATATGTTTAGTAAATGTAATACTACTAAAAGATTTCACGAATGTCAAAGCTATAACGATTTTTGGTTTAAAATTAGTTTTTTTTCAAATACTGGCTTTCTTTTTTCAATTCATACATTTTATTTTAATAAAAGGCTTGTAATACCGCAACTATTTCATTGAAAAGACCTTGTTATCTTTAAATAAAAAAATACTCATAGTAGGATACGGAGTGCACCCTGTATATATTCCGTGCTAATAAAATTAATTGATCATATTTTCCTTCTACGAATCAAGCGTGCTACACCCAATTGTTTACAGTCGGAGAACAAACCTAGTCAAGATATTTGGAATGAATTTACCTGCCTTACCTGTAGCTAAGAGGAGAATGTAGAAGATAAAGTCCATCTAGCCAGTTTTCAGTAAACTCGAGAACAACTCGACGACGTCAGACGTTCGCTGTATCTGTGTATATTTTGACAGACGTTTACAATTTTCTTTTGACATTTCGTATACAAGTTTATTATTTTAACGTACTGTGGCATGTTAATCGGTTACTTGTGTTTGTGATGCTTGAACTGTTTCGCTATTGTTGTGCCTAAACACAAACAACACCGTCAAAGGAAATTTAATTTACCTTAAGGTATGAACTGTCAATTATCTTCTCGCACAATTGCTATAAACCTCTGTTTTTAATTGCTTTAGTATAAATGTCAAATATTGTAGCCAATAAGATATTAAAACAATGCAAATCAAAGTAGGTCGGTTAGTGCCAAGTGGGAGTTAAATTCCTAGTTCTAGTCTCTAGTGGTTATGTTCAAAGCAAAGCGTGTTTTAGGTTTTAAATATGATAATTATTAAAAATTAAAGTAGGTGTATTTTTTTACACCTCCTACACATACAGACATTTTTTTGTGTAACAAATTTCCAACTTGACATTTCAATATATTGTAATACTTTCCCCCCAATTATTAACTATAAACAAAAAAAGAGTAATTAGCTATTATTATTATATTAATAAATAGTTCATTGTTGTTATAATAAATTGACGTTTCAAATCGCATAGATACAAACCGCATATTTATTAAATAAGTAAAATAAAGGCTTGAATATCGTGTTTAACTTACCATAAAGAATCCGATATAAATGCAAGAAAAAAAAAATGACAACGTCGAAATTAATAAAATAACCGGGCTCAACGATGCATACATTTGCTGTGGAAAAGCGCCTTAAAATATTTCACATTGCCTATCCACCTGCAGGTATAAATTAAAATACAGACGAAAAATGTAATTTTTGAACAATAGGGTTGCGGCCTTTCTTTTAAGGACTATATCAATAACCATTGTATTGTGGCCCGTTAAAGTCAGGTAACTTGGGCACCAGTCGCACAGTAAAGTAGTAGACCCGTGAGCTATTATTAACTGCGTTTTATTCGGGCTGGATAGTTGCTATACAAGGTGTACTAATTGTAGGTTTTCGAGGTAAAAAGGTTTCAGAATACTGTCGCCTTTTGATTTAAGAAATCAATAATTAATAGTCTTATTCGATTTATGATTTTTTGATAATGGGGTGTAGAAACACGATTTAATAACGATGAAAAAATATGACAATAATCAAACAGAATCAACAATTTTCTTCTTTTGTTTGTATATTATAAGTTATATAATTCTACAATTATTATGTTAATTAAAAACACTAAAGATATGGATTAGAATGATAGACTATCATTGATAGTTTTTTTAAAATTATATCAAAGTTTTAATACCAAATAATACAGTGTTTTTAAACTAAAATTATTTTAAATAACAACATTTAATTTTTGTTTGTTTCAATGCTTCTTATACTATTCTTAAGTAATAATAGTAAAATTAGTTACCTTAACCTGGAGACCCCAATAGCTGCAAACCAACGAACCTAAATATAACAAAAAAGGTTTTAAGGCCTGAAAGGCTAATACATTTTTAATATTTTGATTTTAAAGCTTAAAATTTTTATAGAGTCAAACCACGTCAAGTGGGACCAGAAAATTTCACGAAATCACCGATTTTGAAAATAATCACATTATTGTGTAGTAGGCATGACTCATATGTCACAGTAAAAAAATTGTTTTAAAATTCGTTTTTTTGGTAATGTTATTAAGGTTGACAATTTTGTCAAACTTAAGAGCACGGTAAAATTGAAAAAATAGAATCTCTGGGACCACTCTGTATAATTGAATTAAATTTTACACACTATTGTAGAAATGTTTAGAGTATATAATGATCATTTAATTAAGGTTAATTTGTTTAAATAAAAGAATTTTTTATACATTTATTATAAACAATTGAAATTTTGTAAGTGTTCTTCACGCTGAAAAAAATTAATCTTGTGTCATAATATGCGGCAAACGTTTTCGTTTAATAAGAAGTACTCAAAAATTTGCCTTTCATATGTCATTCTGGAGATATTAATTTTTTTGTTCCGCTGTGCGCTTAATCAGTACGCGGCGCGCTTCGCTGCTAGCTCGTCAGCACACGGTGTGCCTGAACGAAGTTTAAGTCACATAAAAATTCCGCAGTTTCTTGTTCGGGACCCTTTGGTGACTTAAAAATGATATTTACCAAAATCCTAGCTGCTCCTCTTTTCGAAATTTTTTGAAAAATCTTTTTTATGCATTATGCTTTTTACTATATAAAAAAGTGATTTTTGTCTAACCCTGTATAAATCTAAGCATATATATATAAAAACAGTTTCTTTCGTTTACAATATCGGTGTACAAATGTGTACTCTGGCAAAGGTAGACTTTGCGATAAACAAATAATTTAAAAAAAATTGAATTTTTTACAAATTAAAAAAAAACAGTTAGAATTTTGGTAAATATATTTTTTAACTTCAACCAATCTTTCGTTCAAAATTGAAAACTACTAAAAAGCCTAAATTAAACATCATTTTAAATACTCTCTAAGCGTTATTTTATTAAATGTTATGACAAATCTATTTTTCTTTTAAAAGGTTAATAATAATGCCATTTTGTAACCTGATAGACGTAGAAATATCTAAAAAAAATTGGGAATAAATATTTTTCGCGTGTTATGCTAAAATCATGAATTTACGCTTTTGCATTATTAAAAATAAGTGATTTTTGGCTAACCCTGTGTATATTAAATGATGTTAACAGTATTAAAAAATATTCTCTAAGTCTCCTAAATAATATACTCCAATTTTATAAAAATCCGTGTGCAAATGTGTACTCTGTCAAAGAGATAAACAAAAATTTAAAAAAAATCATGAATTTTCGAACAATTTCGAAAAGAGGAGCAGCTAGAACTTTGGTAAATATCATTTTTAAGTCACCAAAGTGTCCCGAACAAGAAACTAATCAGTTTTTGGCGGCATTTTTATGTGACTTAAACTTCGTTCAGGCACACCGTTAAACCGTTCGAACGGACGAGCTAGCAGCGAAGCGCGCCGCGTACTGATCAAGCGCACAGCGGGACAAAAAAATTAATATCTCCGGAATGACATATGAAAGGCAAATTTTTGAGTACATCTTATTAAACGGAAACGTTTGCCGCATATTATGACACAAGATTAATTTTTTTTCAGCGTGAAGAACACATACAAAATTTCAATTGTTTATAATAAATGTATGCAAAATTCTTTTATTTAAACAAATTAACCTTAATTAAATAATCATTATATACTCTAAACATTTCTACAATAGTGTGTAAAATTTAATTCAATTATACAGAGTGGTCCCAGAGATTCTATTTTTTCAATTTTACCGTGCTCTAAAGTTTGACAAAATTGTCAACCTTAATAACATTACCAAAAAAACGAATTTTAAAACAATTTTTTTACTGTGACATATGAGTCATGCCTACTACACAATAATGTGATTATTTTCAAAATCGGTGATTTCGTGAAATTTTCTGGTCCCACTTGACGTGGTTTGACTCTATATTTTTTAAAATTTGTTAAAATTATTTAAATATTAGTTAAGGAGGTGCATTCCAAAACTCGGCTTATCCATTTTGGGTGATTTTGAGCAAAATGTCAAAAACTTTACACGTGAGTACTAACGCATATCAATACTTAAAACATATGTCTATAAAACCTATATACCTTGATTAAAAAGGTATAGCTGCAATTTGAAATAATTTAAAATTACATACATATAAGCCAGTTCTGACATGATATAACCTATAGATAAGGCAAGTTTTGGAACGATATTCATTTTGTAAATGAGTTTTAAATGGAATAAGGTGAGTTTTAAAATATTGTGACCTTTTCAGGGTATAGGGGGCTACATTTTAAATGTACAGATACCATTAACTCATTTTTATTAAAAACTGGATAAGCCGAGTTTAGAAATGGACCTCCTCAGTTACTTAAAATATTATAATTTATTATTTTTTAAATTTACATTGGTTTACAGTCAAACTGTACATTCGATGCTATTTTTTGGCACACCGAAAAAAATAATGTAGTTGAGTTAACATTTGCCTAAATGTCATTTTTAAAAATGTTGTTTCAACAAAAAACCTATTGGATTAATCTATATTTTGGTGTTAAAGCAAAAGTCAGAGTTTGTCAAAGTTTATTTGTTCATTTGACAGTTTAAATATTAATTTAACATAAACTAATATTTTGAATTAAAATGTTTATCGTACTTTGATTTAATAGCTGGAATTTGTTGAATCAACTACTGAAATTTTTAGGATTACCTAAAAAAACTATTAAATTAACGTTTAGTTGCTCTTTAATCCAAAACTTTAAATTTGTTCATTTAACAAATTTAAAATGTTACTTTAAAATTTAAAATGTAAAATTTGCATTCATAAAATTGCCGAGAATGGCGCTTCGAACACTCACGCCACGTCATTAGACAATGACGTTTTCTTACATCTCGCCTTAGTTAGCTTACGATTAGGTGTATATAAGATGAGATATCTGTTTGTTTAAGGTGTGTTCCACAGTAGAACTTTCACTACACTATATTGCCCGACACTGTTAAGACCCTCAATACAGGGCGAAACAGTCTGTCGGTATTTGAAGTAGGTGGAACACATGATACAAAGATGTATCATGGGTGGAACACGCTCAAAACAAAAACTCTGGGCGAGGTGAAGGTTCAATTCTTTCTATTTATATATAATAATATATTATTTCCATAATTTTACATTTTCAGAATGTTAATTTAACATTTTATTGGTGTTAAGTGAATATGCTAAAAAGGTTACCTGGACATTTCAAGAAATTTACCTTAACACCCTAAGAATGTTAAATTAACCAAATTAGCAGATTAGAACAAATATTCTTATTTTGTTCATTTGACTGTTATTTGTTGTTCAATTAAACAATACAATTTGACATTTTTAGATGGTTAAGTAAACGTGCAAAAACCATTGCTTGTATTTAAAGTGCATAAAGAGTTGAATTAATATTTTTTTTGTTGTTTCAACAGCTTATTTTTTTCAGTGCAGGCCAAAATAGCCTGCTTAACTAAAAAATCCCAATATTTTTTATGGCAAGGATTTTAATTTTAGTTATTTGTTTATAAAATGTAGCTTTACAATTTGGAACATATCTTGAGTTAGATACGGCCAATCTGGTTGCCAAAGGTGTCAAACTAAACATAGTGCAATGAAAATATTGACA